GAAGAAGGGGAACAAGGATTTTTTACCGAGGCGAACTTAAAACGACGGACAAGGTCAATTTGGCAGCTGTAGGGGATAGGGAACGAAAAGTTGCTTGGTTTTGTCTCAGTTTGCTTGCTTTACTTCTTTTTTTTTCTCAGAAGCGAAGTGTGCGTGTGTGTGTGTGTGTGTGTGTGTGTATGTGGGGGGAGGTTCACATAGCATAATGGACAGGTACGTGTACCCTGTATTGACAGGTACTCCCTGACCACAGGATGCGCTAGCAGTCAGTTACAAAATTATTATAATTTAATCCTGAATGATATTTTAGAGACCTCTTATATCAAAGGGTAGGAGATGGGTCGTTCCGCGCAATCTTACTCGCCAGCCCACAGTTTTACCGTCCTAACCTCACGAACGTGACCTTTGACCCATCCTGACACGGTCCAAGTCGTGACACAAACAAAGAGATGATGAATGCTGACGTCATCACCCCAAATAAGCGTGAGAAATACACCACCTGGATACATTCTAGAGACTGAATTTTAATTCAGCTTAAGGATGAACACCCTGGGTTTGGGAGATTAGAACAGAATTCGACAGATGCAGACTGGTAGCTTTAGTAATTTCTAAAAGAAATCGGGAGACTGCATTTGATATCGCTACCGGCAAATTTACTGGTTATAATTATTATTTCCATATTAAGATGAAAAACACTGATATATTATTAGTATTAAATAATATTATGGTAGCAGCAGGACGTTCTGTTTGGGGTTGAAATGGTACATGTTTTCACTTAGTTTGTGAAATTCTCAACAGTCTGTAGTCCGTCCAGATTTAAGTAAATATATACAATTTGTTGATACATAGAGAGAATAATGAGAACATTAAATGAGTAAATGAATAGATAAATAATTTATATATATGTGAGTCAATTATTCGAATTATTGATAAATGGATTGATAAATGCATTATTATTTCGCCATGAATTGAAGAATGAATTAACCGCTAACCGAAAACTTTATTACCATGTGATAAATCGCACAAAATGAGAAGTCCAAATGACAAATGACAATTGAAATGTGAAATGCTCATCAATTTTAGGAAACAATAAAATGGAGATCTACGAAATGCATGCTGTTCGGGAATTGCTCGAAGCCGTGAAGCTGCTTCCGAGCCACGGTTTTACAGCGCGGGCTCCGTGGGCTCAGAGGTAGGCTGGGGGCGAGGGCAGCGACGAGAAGGGCGCAGGGTAGGGTCGGCACATCTGGCTGTCATGAATGCGCATCTAGAATAAGACAAAAAGTCACAAAGTTGTTAGAAAATGAACTCATGTCGATAATTATGACACTTTGAATGCTTTTTCAATATCTATTTCCAGATGAAGTTTTTGTTTTTCCTTTTTTCGTATGCTTATTTTTTACTACTACCAAGTCACCACAATTTCTTCATTGGGTATTCATTTTAAACAAAAGGTGGTAAAACAACACAAAAGTGAACAAATATTTTAAAATCTCTCTCTTTACTTTGCAACACCAAAAGTCAAGCCAAGCCTTATATTTTTTTACATTTCCATTTTTGATCTCTTGTTCATCTACTACAAGGTTTATACTGTCCACTCACTTGCTGGTGTACACGTTGCCGTTCATGTCACAGATCCTGATATTGGCTTCGTTCATCTTATCTGGGCAACCCTCCATCTTAATCTTCTGGCACACGTCCTCCAGGGATGGTTTGGTTGGGCGTGGCCCCCTGGTGGGCTTGGTCATGTTGCTGAACTGAGACAGGTCCCCCATGCAGTGTCTGATGTTTCTGTCCACGCGCAGGCTGGGGTTTTCACAGCGGGCGAGCATGAATTGGCACCTGCAATATTTACTCGCTGTATTAACATTTTTTTTGTTTTTAATTTATAATAAACATAAACTCTTTAGTCACTACAGTGAAAATTAGTTAAGATAAAATACTGTAAATCACAAAATCCTTAAGAAGTGGTCTTTTACCCATATAAAAACAGAATCCCTGTAACGCTCCCCATAACTTTTCTTTTCACAACTGAGAAATGGCGTCACTTACTTGGAGGTGTACATTTGTTTGTCGGAGCCGCAGATTTTCAAAGTGTTCGCCTGGTTCACACTTTGGCATTTTTGGGCGATCATCTTACACCTCTCCTCAAGGGATGGTCGGGTGGGCTTTGGGGGTCTTGTCGGGAGCTCTTGGGCCAGGGCAACGCCTAACAGAGAGCAACAATACAATGTTACACATGTAACTGGTATGGTATAATATTTCAATGTAAACTTACAGGGGTAGTGTTTGTGGTATTATCGGGTAAAAACGGAATCCTGGAGTTCAGTTAAAAGTGTAAAATAAGTAAATAGATAAAAAAAAAATAAATGAATAAAACAGAAAGAAGACGGTGGCTTCAGAACAATGTGAGTATTGTCGTCGTTAACGTATATACTGAAGGAAATAACATGTATCTATTAAACAAAATTGAAAAAGAATCATTAAAATAAAAGAAATAAAAAAATTAAACACAATGAAAACGGTTGACTTTTTTTTTTATCTAGGAGGATGTTTATAACCTTAGAAGTATATGAATATAAGTCACTCATTTCACAAATTTTGAATCTGCACTTCTCTGGTGAAAAACATGAAAATATATTGTTATATAAACATACCTGCCAGGAAAAGAACTGCAATCGGGACCTTCATGTTTTTGGTTACGGCTTCACTGTAATAAATCTACATATAACAGCGATTTGTCTTTGGGCAAAGCGAACTTATATAGGAGAACGGCCGGAAAAACACGCCAACGCTTCGCGAGATAATACATGCCGCCTGTTGCACAGATTAACCCACTCCTTTTCGTGCAGAACGTTCTCTGAAGGTCGTAGGAACGTGCGTGCGTTCTGCGTGATATACCACGAGCCTATACGTTAGTTGCGGAGTGTGCACGTATGCTGCTTATCATTTAAAAGCTTACGTGGGTCTTTACAGAAAGGATACCAAAAACTGCTTTATGTAAAGCAAGAGGCTTTTACAGAAAACAGCACCTGTGGCAAGCATATATAAAATCAGCCCAATAAAACAATATAAATCAGTTAAATCAATTTCACTAATTTGATAATAAACAAACGGAAATGCAAATAAAAAATGAGACTGCTAAAATGTAAAAAAATGTAATAATAAATAAATTGAATGATGTCAAAAAGAAAGGAAAAACACAACAGCGCTCCCTACTGGTGGCGACTTTGTGCATAGTGGCCAACCGTCATACCCAAGACACGACACTCTTAACTGTTTGTGCAGTGTGTGCGGGCTTATCTTATGTGTACATGTGCTAATTCTGATATTTTAGTGTCCCATGAAGTTCTTCTAAATTTTCTAGCTTTTATTTTCGTTTCCAAACGCAACTGTTAACAGCATGTAAAGCATGCAAGTCAATTTATTAACAGTTGAACGTGCACTGGTAGTCAGTAAAATACAGAATTAATTGTTGACCTGGAAAAGTCGGTGTGACCTAAAATCCGCCTGCCGTTGAAGAAGATCGTCCCACGAGTTCTACATATTGACCGATGTTTCGGTTGATAAATTGATTGGTTACGTGTTGATTGGTTTATGCAATAGAATTAGGGAGTTACAGCTTAAACTCGGAGAAGATAGCATAAAGGCAGCGCATGCCTCTTACGACGGGTCACGGCCTACAGCCTGGGGTCTCTGATGACAAATTGTTTCACAAAATGACTTATTAAAATATATATTCTCATGTGTAAAATAATTAATCTACTTATTAATGCATTATTTGTTGGTCTATTCGTCTATTTTCGCTTTTTATTTACTTCAACAAGTACGAACAGTACAGACACTTCACTGTTTCCTGCATCTATGTAACTAGGTCCTTTGTTCGAAACGGACGGCTTCTTCATTTAGCCTTTGTGTCCGACACACACACACACACAGACGCGCACGCACGCACACACACACACGCACGCACGCACACACATACACACACACACACAGAGAGAGAGAGAGAGAGAGAGAGAGAGAGAGAGAGAGAGAGAGAGAGAGAGAGAGAGATATGCGTGTATGTGTGCGTGTGTTTGTGTGTGAGAGAGATACTTGGACTTTCTGTAGTCCCGTATGACTTCCTACACAACGATCTGCCTAGTTTCAAGTTATCAATTATCTCGGATGGGGCAAATTCACGTATACACATATTTCTCTGATCTACACTGTTTCAGTTTCACATTGGCTGAAAAGCATTATTTGCAAAAGCATCGATTGTGCTTGTTGAGATAAGAACAACTGCTGCAATTGACCATCCGATCATGGGTGTTGAATACAACCATGGACATGCAGGAGACAACCCATAAACCACACGTACATATAGGGCCTTATGTCACGTCTGTGTGCATGTTTTCTAAGATTGTTCATTGACTGTAGGGACGCGCGCACACGCAAAGTTAATGTTTATTC